TGGCAATGCCTTGGGCTGTGCCCCATGGAGCTGTGGGGTGCTATGGGGCCATGGCAATGCCTTGGGCTGTGCCCCATGGAGCTGCGGGTTGCTATGGGGCCATGGCAATGCCTTGGGCTGTGCTCCATGGAGCTGCCCACCCTGCAGAATGGTGCAGTTTGCAGAACAGAACAGCACAGCCGGCCTGCGGGCGCTGCACCTGAACATCAGCAGGGCCATGGCCCAAGGCCTGCTCCTCGCATTCTCCCCTGCTGAGGTGAGGGCCCCACATGTGCTTTCATGTCCTCCACACTGGGCTTGTGGCAGCCCTGCTTGGCAGAACCCACACGGGCAGTGCTGAGCTTGTGCCTGCTCAGGGCCCCGCAGTGATCAGCTCAGCAGAGGAGGGGACAGCAGGCACCATCCGGCTCCCCAGCGGGGCGTTCCCATCCCCGAGCAGCCAGGCAGTGCGCGTGGTGGTGACTGTGCTCAACATCCAGCAGCTCACCATGTTCCAGGTACGAGCTCCCATTTCAGCCATTGGGATGTGGGAGACACTTGTCGGCTCGGCTCAGCCGGCACCGCTCCGTGCAGGAGGACAACCAGATGGGAAAGGTTCTGGACAACACCGTGGTGGGCATCGTGGTTGGGGATGGGGACGTCTCGGAGCTGCAGGACCCCGTGCAGCTCACCTTTGCCTACCAGCAGTTGCCACATGTAAGGCATGCCCTCCCCTCCCCATGCCTCCTGGTGAGGTGCAGGTTCACACTACGTCCCTGTTTGCAGAATGTCACCCCGCTGTGTGTTTTCTGGGAGCCCAGCAAAGGTACAAGGCTCAGCAGGGCTTGGTGGGGCTGTGGGCAGGCTGCCTGCCATGCTCCTGGCTGCCATCCTGCTATCAACAAGCATTGCAGCCCCCCAGCCTGTGCTCTGTGAGGCAGGATGCGGGTTTGGGCTGGTGCCCACCACTGTGGCCCTGTGCTGGTTGTAGGGCAGGCAGGAGGCTGGAGCAGTCACGGATGTGTCACACAGCCCAAGGACAAGGAGACAGTCTGCACTTGTGACCACCTCTCCTTCTTCACCCTCCTCCTGGTGACAACCCCTCTCCTTACAGCTCCCACTCTTACCCCTGCTCAGGCCCTCACGTGTTACTGCTGGGTGCACAGGAACAGTTGTATTTGCTTCCAGGCGAGCCCAATCCTGCCCTAACATCAACCCCAGCCCCATCTTTGTGTCCCCGAGGGCAGGAGCAGATCAGTGGAGGATGGGGAGGGTGGAAAGGGCTCTAATCTGGCAGCAGTGAAACTTGAGGTCTGTTCTCTCCCCACCCCAAGAGCAAGCACATCCCCTCAGAGCTGCCACCACCACTTCTGCATTCCCTGGGGAACTTGGGGTCAGACCTGTGGGTTCTGGGCTTGTAGAGGTCCCTGCAGCACTCTGCTGGGGGCATCCCCCCTTGGCTCCATGGCTTGGGCAGCAACAGCCAGCTTTTCCAGGCTGGTTTGGACCCATCTGACCACTCATGTTCGGCAGAACCCATCTCTGGACGGGTCTACGGCACAGACGTTGGTGGCTGTGGCCAATGCTGGTTGTGGTGTGGCTGTGGCTTTCTCCATCTTCACTTTTGCCTTCTACATCTTCTTAAGGTGGGGTGTGCAAGCAGCTCCCCTGACTGTGAATGGATTTGAGGAGGAATGTGGAGCAACCCCAGGCCTCGGGGAAGGGGTGCCCCTCTCCTCTTCCACTTGTCAGTGCCTGCTGTCACCCTCCCCAGTATGTGGGTCCCTCCTCCACCCTTTCTGCCCCCTCCAGGTGCAGTTACAAACAGTTCAGGTCTGAGGACACCCTCCGCATCAACCTGGGGCTGCACATGAACCTGGTCAGCAGCCTGCTCCTGCTCAACCTGGCTTTCCTGCTCAGCAGTGGGCTCTCCAGCAGAGCACCTCCGGGGCTGTGCAGTGCCCTGGGGGGGCTCACCCACTACTGCCTGCTCTGCTGCTTCACCTGGACGGCGCTGGAGGGCTGTCACCTCTATCTCCTCTTTGTCAAGGTCCTTGGCACCTACATACACCACTACCTGCTGAAGCTGTGCATTGTTGGATGGGGTGAGCACAGGCTGCTGGGGAGTGAGGGAGCCTGTGGGTTACAGCCAGAGGGAACTGGGCTTTGCGGTGTTATGGGTGCCTGCAGAGACAGAGAACTCTGACCTCCCTCATGCTGCTCTCTCTTGTTCCTCCAGGCTTCCCTGTTCTGGTGGTGGGGGTGGCAGGAGCCATTGGCAGCTATGGAAAACACAGTATTGGGACAGTGGACAACCAGACCATAATCGACCTGTGTGTGGCACACACCTGCAGGATTTGGGTGGCCCTTTAGCCATGGGGAGGGGTTCCCATAGATGTATGGGGAGCAGAGCTACTGGAAGCATTGCAGTTGTTTCTTTTCAGGTGCTGGATCAATTCTGAGCACCTCCTTGTCCACTACATCACAAACTGCGGCTACTTCGGCCTCATCTTCCTCTTCAACACCATCATCTTCGGGGTGGTGGCCTGGAAGAATTGCCACCTGTGGAGGAGCGGGGTGATGCAGGGGCACTGCAAGGCCTGGAAGGTGGTCCTGGCAGCGATGGGTCTCTTCTGCCTGCTTGGAGCCACCTGGGCACTGTCCTTCCTCAGCTATGGCAGCTCTTCCACACCCATGCTCGTCCTTGCTGCTATCCTCAACTCCCTCCAAGGTCAGGGCCGGCTCCCAGGGTCTGGCTGGGAAGGGGTGGGAGGCAGGAGGAAGCATGGCACTGGTGGACAATGAATCCCAAGGCACAGGCATGCCCTTCCCTTCAGCAGGGAGAAGAGGGACCTGCCATGGAGCTCAGCCACTGATGCTGAGCCCTGGAGAGGCACTTGGAGGAGCCTCTCTCTCTGCTGCTGCTGCCATGGTCTTCTTCCTTCCCCTGCAGGTGTTTTCATCTTTGTCTGGCTGGTTGTCCTCTACTACCCAAGGGCAGAGGAGACCAGCAGCTCCCTCTCCCACATCGTGAGGAATGACAAAACCATGGCTGTGTCACAGGGATAGCTGCTGGGCCTTCCCTCTCTGCCTGCCAGCTCCCAGCCCAAAGTACACGGCTTCCTGTGAGAGCAAGGCCTGCATGGGCAGCTGGGCACCCTGGCTGACCAGCGTGGCCCCTGCTCTCACCCATGCCTCATTTTACTCTTTGGGGGGTGTGATCTGCCCTAGCTGCCCTTTGGCTCCTGGGGGCCAGCTTGGTCCAAGGAGACCAAGTCACCTCCAGTCACCTCCCTCCCTTCTGCATGCCCTCGGAAGTCTCATTCCCCAGTGCCTCCTGCTGGAGCCTGCAAGCCATCTGCATTCAGCCTACAGCCTTACCCCAGCACAAGAGAAGGAATTGGGCACTGGATCAGCCTGGAGATGCACAGCCAGCTGCACCCTGAGCTACACCATCTCCTCCACACTGTACGTGCATGCACGCACATCAGCTCAGCCTCTCACAAAGAACTGTTGTATTGGCCAATCCATGTCTGTGTTTTAGCATTAAAACTCTGCTAGCAAGCTAAGCATTATGGATTTCACTTTTGATGGTGACAAGTGAACAATATTTATAGTTTTCTCCACTTAGATGTACTGGTGAGCCAAAATCTTTCTAGCAATTCACTGTCATGCAGGGGGAAGATATCTGTGTGGACACATGTATGTACACACACTTGTACATACAGCAGTCCTTTCTCTGCTAATGCTATGCCATCTGTGGTTCCATGCTGTGTAATCAATGAATATACAGATGTTATAATTAAGAAATATACAGGAAAGGTAGGCTAAACAGGCTATCACACTAATGAAGAATGGATGGAAAGCTTACCTTTGTCCTTAGGCTCACTAAGAAGACTCCAAGAGGAGCAATCTCCACAAGAGATCCTTCCCCACTGGCAGTCAGCTCTTAAATGGGGTCTAGGAGAGGTGGAGCCAGGTTCCACCCCTTCCAGTAGCACAGAATTGCCTTCACCTGTGCTCCCAGGGCTGACTCAGTGCTCACCTCATGTGGTCAATCAGAGGCTCAGCAATTCCCATGCAAAGCCCACATCTGGTGGGCACAGAGCTCCATCTCCCCACCTCCTTCTAAAACCAACCACCTGCCCAGCGTAAGAAGGACAAGAAGGACTTCAGTTTGCTCTCTGGAAGCTCTATGCTACGCCTGCAGGCAGGCCCTGCTACAGCTGGGTTGCTGGGTCTTGCAGAGCCCAACAGCTGAGCCCTGTCCCATGAGAGGGTACTGGACCCCATGAGACATCCCACCTCACCACCCCAGAGCAGCCCTTTCTGCTCAGCTCTCCTCAGTACTTGTTTCACCATGGGCCAGGAGGGCATGGGAACGTTCAAAAGATGCTCAGTGAACAGAAACACTCTGATGTGACTCATCCTTTGAGCAACATTTGAATTTCCTTCCTCTAAACCTCTGTAAAGACACAGAGAAGAGTCTCTCTGCCGCTGCCACATTTATTTGAAACTGGCTATTTTCTACACCGTGCATCTTCTCACACTGACAGCTGCAGCAGCCACAGTGAGCACACCAAGAACACACAGTAGGATGAAGATCCCAGGGAGCCACAGGCTGGGTCCAACAAAGAGAAGAAAGGTTGGTTACTGGTCTGGGTCCCCCAAGCTGGCCCAAATACTCCCCAGAGTGGCATACGTACCCTTCAGCTCCTTTTGGTCAGCCCTGGGATGATGGCTCTCCGCTCCCAGGGAAGGAGCAGCCAGCAGGTGGATGGGTCCATAGGAGACAATTTTATTGTAGTCATCTGCCAGCTCCCGCTTGCTCCTCCAGAGAGTGGGACATTGCTGTTAACAGAATAAAAGGAAGGGAAGAGAGCAGGGAAGAAGCTCTCCTGTGGGGTCAGTGCCTGCCAGGGGGACAGGCTACCCTGGTGTTCTGCCCCAGCAGAGGCACAGCTGTGGTGCAGCCTAGGAGAATGGCTAGCCTCAGAACATGGGACAGGAGCTGGTTAACAAAGGAACCTTAACCTGCTTGTCCCCAAGTCACTCCTAAGAACTGACCTTGGCACAGGGCTCAGGGCCGTCAGGGAGACACAGCCGGACACGGCAGTGCAGGAACACCTTGGGGTACCCGACAAACTGAAACATCTGGAAGCTGAACTTGGCTGTGGTGCTCTCTCCAATGGCATTCAAGTATGTCACTGTCTCATCATGGGGACACCTGGGGCAAAATAGCACAGTCAGCAGGCAAAAAAAAAAGAAGGACACCCCAGTTTGGGACAGCCACAGCAAGGAGACCAGGAATGCTCACCCCTGCTCAATGAGCTCATGTCGCACATCCTGGTAGGGGTCTGAGCTCGGCGTGGCCCAGCAGTCCTCCACACTCAGCAGGAAGTACCGGAGCTGGTGCTGCCCTTCTATCTTCAGCATGGCATACAGCGTGTCAGTGATGGGCACGGCCGCAGTCGGCAGCCGGTAGGGCTCCACGTAGGATGCGGTCTTGTACAGCCTCATGCTGACGTTGAAGTGCCCTTCTCTGACCATGAACTGCACCAGCCTGTGAAGAGAGAAGAGAGCTCGTGAACTGCCACGTCAGGTCAGCAGGGCTGGCACAGGCTCTTCGTGTTCGCTGAGCCCAGATCCCATATGGAGTTGGCCCAACTAGTCATGGAGGTGGGAGAAAGGCAGATTACACGTGTCCCTACCCAAGGCCCAAACCTTATTCTGAAAAACTACTATGGGACCCTCTTGGGGAAGAGAAAGAGAAGCGCTGTGATGTGATACTGCTCTCAGAGCTCTTTGGTGGCTCCCCAGGGCCTTTACAGATCATCTCATCAAAGGCATCTATTTTTCCACAAGCTTGAACACACCATCTCAGCAGCAAGGTGAAGAGAGACCACTCACTTGTCGACAGGGATGAGGGCAAATGGCACCTTCACCACCTGCTCATAGGCATAGACGCAGGAAAAATGCACCTCCAGCTGAAAGCTCCTGGAGATCACACCCCTGTGTGCTTCCCTCGCTGTCTCAATGATGTTGGAGTATGACACATGGGAGCTGTTTTGCTGGAATGACAAAGAAACCATACCTAAGCTCATGTACAGAGTACAGCACAGTCTAATGAATTAAGTGATGTACTGACTATAGGCAGGTCTGCAGAGCTCAGAGGATCCTGCCAGAAAGCTGAAGGCTCTTATCCTAAAGAGCACACAGAGACTTCCATGCTCCGCTGCGCAAGATAAGATGTGCTGCCAGCAGTGGTTTGGTGGAGGCAGAAGAGCTTTCTAACAGCCCCCAGGGAAGCCTCCCAAGGGGAAAGAGAGCTTCACAGTGCCAGATAAAAAAGGGAAAGACTCCAGGGCTGTCCCCATTCAGCATATTTCTTCTCACTTGGCTTCAGAGCTATTCAGCACAGGCTCTGTGCTGGATCCTCACCTGAATTATTGATCCACAGGCAGTGTGGTTTTCACCTGTGAGAGTGGCTGCAAAAAACAGCTCACCCTCCTCTTCTCTTTCTGAAACCTTGCATGCCTGGTTCTTCAAGTGGACAAGTTCCCGGGGGATTTTCAGCAGTTCAAACACCTCCTTCCTCACCATCATCTTCATGTGCTCTTCCTCACAGGCCAACTTCAGGACCACATCTGGGGGAAAAAGCCATCTGCAATAGCAATAAGGAAGATGCCTGAAGGAGCCCTAAGTCAGCTATGGGATGACACAGTCCTATCGAGCTCAACAGACCCTCATCCCAACCTCATGGAAGGCTGCTGGTAGGGGTCTTCAGAGACACCAGGGGAAAGCAAAAGACAAACCTTTGGAAATGAGCTGAATTTAATGAGGATCTGACATTTACTGCTAATTGCCTAAGCCTGCACAAGTCTGCAACTGCTGCTACTTTGAATGGACACAGTCGTCAAGCTAAGACATCATAGGCAGACATCACAGGTCTGGCTCCCTCTGGGGGAGGACTGTCTTTAGAATTCTGCAGTCCGCCAAGGGAACCAGGCAGGAACACCACCCTGCCCATCACCTTTCCCTTTGGTGCCTGTGTGCAAACTGAGCTTGCCAGCACCCCAGGCTGTACCTTGGCAGAACGCCCCTGTGAAGCCAGGTTTGCAGCTGCAGATGGGTCTGTCCTCTATCACCTGGCAGCCCCCATGGTGCTGGCATGGGTTGGGCATGCAGGCGTCTGAGCTCCTCTTGGCACGCAGGGCAAACCTTCCTGTCGAGCTGTGAGGGCTTGCCAGCTCACCTGCAGGGAGGGCAATGCAAGCAAGCTGAAATGCAGCAGGAACATCTAACCTTCGAGAGAATGAGAGCAAGCTCACCCCACTGCTTGCAAGGGCTGAAGAGGCTCTGACCTCTCCTTTCCATTTCCCCATCTATAACTGCACAGGGCAGCATACAAGGAGACTCACTCTTGTTGCCTTCGCAGCCAGCCAGGCGCAGGGCAGAGAACAGCAGCAAATACGTCACAGTCCCTTCCTGTAAGAACAATCAGGCTCTGGGTAATGCAGGTTTTCAGCAGGTCCTCATTGCAGAGGTGTTGGCAATCACTCAGAGCCAGCCCTCAAACATGGGTACAATAATTTCTATATTGTATTTCCTCCAAAAACTGTAGGTTCAATGGTATGAAGTAATTTCCTATCCCAAAGGGCCAAAACAGCAATCCTCTCAGCCCAGGCTCCCATAAGTGAAAAGGAATTTCCCTCTAACCTTTCTAATCATAGTTCTAATGTGAAGATTTAGGTCTTATGAAGCCGTGCTTGCCTTTCCAGTAACCCACATCCACAACAGGAGAGACAATGGGATTAAAAGAAAAGAATCAAACCTTGAACATAACTAAAATTTATGTCATGAAGACACAGATAAAGTCAACCTCCAAGCCTGGGTCAGATAACATGTTTCCTTAGAGAAATTAATGACGTGGTGCAGGATAAGCCCAGGACCCTTATCAGAGCTGTGGATATGAGTCACCTGGGGCTGCTGGCTGCATATGTCCCCACAGCAGGGCAATGCCAAAGACAAAAGCTTTGGACTGCCACACTCTGGTCTAGCAGCAAATTGTTTATTCCCTCAGCCCTACCCTGAGCATCTGCAACCAGAAATCTGGGCAAGGAGGATGCAAAGCCCTGGGGATGTAGAGCCCCATCTGCAATGCGGGGCATGGCCCCAAAGCACGGTCCTCTAGCTTCAGTGGAAACCTGGCTCCTGCTGCTGCCAGAACTATGCTGACAGCAAGTGCAGGACTGTTCCCAACTTGGCACAACTGCCTTGGGCAGCTCTGCAAACCTTCTCTCAGATGTGCCACCCATGGCTGCTGCAGCCTCAACAAAAAGCTCCTAGCTGCTCTCATCATGCCCACCAGCCCAAGGACTGCATACATCCTCAACACAAAGCTTCCACCTCTCTTATCCTACTCACCATTGCCAGACCAATCCACACTTGCCCACCCGCAGCCAGCTGGGTCCTTCTCGTGCTCCCAGCTGCCTGCCTTATATCACCTCCCAGCAGCTCACTGCTCCCCCACGCAGACACGCTGCCTCTGCGATTGCACAAGAGCCAGCAGCAGACGGGGAGCAAACAGCTCTCCGAAAATGCGTCCTCCAGCATGGCCCTTCTGATTAGCTCAGGGCTGGTGAACGCTGACCCAAATCACAGCCCTGATGGGGCTCCAACCAGGAGCAGCGTCTGCAATATCCCTCTGTCTGCACCATCCCCTGCTTCCCGGGGTTTTAGGCATCTACCTGCTGTTGTGGCACCTGCTTCGCCTCAGCAGGAACAGCAGATACCATAGTGGTACATGCAGAGGCCAACAGCTGTGCACTCAGTACACATGGTTTCCCTTCCACACATGAACACACATGATTTCCCATCCACACACACGTGCTCTGTTTTTTAGTGACTTCTGAAATCCCAGATCTGGTGAGAGATGCTATGACAGACACGGGGATAAGGGCTTGGTCCTGCCACACGTTGTGAAACGATTATGACAGTGATCACTCACAGTGATGCTACTTGATACGCTGTGTAAACTGCTTGTTACAGAAAGCGCGGAATGATTTAAAATATCTGACTGCGGTTTGCCTGCATGCCCAGCACTGTTCATGGCACACCTGACTGCCCCTGTGTGCCCCTGTGAGCAGGGCAGGCTTGTCCTAACACAGAGAAAACGCAGAAATGAAGCAGTGCTTAGCAGCTGCTTAGTTCTTCTGTCTGAAGAACCACCACTTAAAAAAAACAAGCCTCCTGTCACACTCAAAAGCAGTGGAAGCCATGAGTTTAGGGGCAGTCCTGCAGCCTGGAGTGGGCAGAGGAGGCCCAGGCCCAGACCCAGGCCCAGACCCACAGCTCCCAGCCCATTTGCTCTGGGGCTGCTGAGGCACCTGCCGCAGCCAGGCTGTGTATGGAGGTGCTGAAGTGAGTGGTGAGCAAAACTGGGGCAGCCGAGGGGGCTGTGGAACCCCGGGGGGCAGCTCAGGGCCTACCGCCTCCATAGGGCGGGGGAGGCCCAGGGCTGGGCCGCGGGAGAGGCCGCAGGCCGCGCCAAGGCTGCTGGGTGCGTGGACGTTGCCATGGTGACCAGGCCCGGCGGCGAGGCTTTGGCAGACGACAGAGGTGCGGGGCTGGAGGGGCTGTGGGGCTGAAGGGACCGGAGGGATCCTTGCAGGATGGCAGAGGCTGGGTGCGGTGCTGGGCCCTGGAATTCCCCCACTTCGTGCCCCCAGCCACAAGGTCCGTCGTGCCCCATGTGCTCTGCAGAGGGTCAGCCTGACCGCAGGGAGGGAAAAGGACGGCCCCCAGCCTCCCTGAAACCTAAATAGGCGATAGGAGCAGCGCTGCGGCCTTGGAGGCTGCTCTGCTGCTGAGGCAGCTACAAACAACCCTCTCCCCAGCAGCTCTGGCTGCGTTCCCTGGAGGGCCAGCCACAACAAGGCCTGAGGCTGTGGCGTGGCACCCACCAAACAAATCCCCATCCCACCGGCTGCCCCATGCCCTGTGTTCCACCTGCCCAGCCTGAACTCGAGTTCAGTGCTTGTACACGAGAGTCACAGAAATGGGAACCATTGCACCCGGAGTTTTGGTGTTCCTATACACCTGGTCCCATCTGGTTGCATGTATTTCTGTAGAGGAAGCGAAATGGAGGTCCTAGAGGAGAAAGAAGAGGAGCAAAAGGAAGAAGAGCTGAAGGCTTTGGAGGTCAGCAGTGAGCTTCACAACATGGACACAAAGCTGTCTGTGGAACAAGTCAGCTTTGCAAGTGATGTACCGTAAGTTGCACGTGTGTGTCAGTCACTGGGATGAGCAGAGACAGTCCTGCGGGGGGTCCATGGGGAAGCTGCATGCTTGTAGCTGGTGCTGAGGTTGTTTGTGCAAGGCAGGGTGGGGGGAGCAAATTTAGTTGAGCCTGGTGAGCTGTCCATGTCTGTGAGTAAGACAAGATAAATCACTTCATTTGCCATCCATTCAATACTGTATCAAAACACTGTATAAAGATCCCCCAGTCCTCTCGGTCTACGTTAGCTTGCCATCACTCCAGAGAAGCTTGACTATGTCAAAATCACGCCTACTTTAAACAATCTCTTCTTGGATATAGCCCCATTTTTTTTCCAGCAGGGAGCCCTTCCTGTATTTCGATAGCAGATCATCCTGTCTAAATCGCTCCCCACTTTATTACCTGTGTTTCTCTGCCTCCTTCTGCCTCTCAAGTGATTTTGACTGGAACAGCATTGGCACGTCCCAGTTACCAGACTCATACAAGGTGAATTCCCCAAGGGAAAAGAAGCTGCTGCGCATTGCTCACCATTACCACCAGCAGTTTGCTCACCTCTGCCCTGAACGCAAGCCGCTCTTCCTGCACCCTGTCAACGAATGTGGCGTGGAGGTAAAGGAGGTGTGGAGATGGGCCCAAGCTGCACAGTTTTTGTCCAGTCATGGGCCTGTTGCTGCCCTGAGTGTGTGGAATTGCTCCTTTAGATCAGCTTCCTTCAACATTTATTATATAAATGTCATACCAGACAAATAAATAAATAAATGCCAGAGGATATAGAAGCCAGAAAGTGCAGTAACTATTTGTCTCACATGAAAGTTAAGAGATCTGGCTCACATCTGCAGTGTGGCTGAGATTAGCTTCTAACTAACGGAAGTGTCTACTGGCACAAAGCATCTTAACTCCATGCATTTCCAATTCTGAGTGGTGATGAGGTGTACCATCAGTATGTTGGTATGCTCCAGGGAAGTCCTGAGTGTAAGCTGCAACAACCAGGGGTTGTCTGAGGATTGCTTTGGACAAGAAACTGCACCAGTAATCTGTTGGCTAATCAAAGTCCTCTTGGTGCCTTACAGAAGTTTGTGAGCACAACAGTGAGGCCAACCTTGCTGCCTTACACAGAGCTGTACCGCTGGGATGGCTGTGCCAGCTTTGTCTCTGATTATCTCACTATGGAGCCCCTCAAGTGCCCTCTCACACCGGTAAGAAAGGGCTGCAGTCCCTTCAGAAACAGCCCCACGATGGAGGTGAAAGAAGTACGCAATGTGGAAACCCGAGGGGCTGGGATTTACAAAGTCCTTTTGTCCCTCCAGCACCTCACAATTACTTGGGCAATCCCGCTAGAGTAGCAAGAAGAGATGATGCCAATGTCCTGGGGGTGGTATGAACCAGAAAAAGCAGAGAGACTAACTAGTCTTTGTTAGGAAGGACTGCTGATATCCTTCAGTGTGCTCCAAACAATCTACATGAGCTCCATGCTGGTCAGGCGTGTCCCAAGAGTCTCAGGGTCTCAAGAGACACTTTGGTGTCAAGAATGTGTGTTGATTTAGTGGACAAAGGCTGATCTAACCTAAGGTTCAGTCTGATATCTGGGCATAGATGGTGTAAGTAGAATATCTCTGTATTCACTTTGTGTGTTGTTCCCTTTGCCTGGGGAGTGAGGACCAAAAGGAAGTATGTTCCCTTTGTGCTGTAATTTAGGTTATGGGTCTTTTGCTTTGAAATGCTGCAGGCAGACCAGCTGGAAATGGAGATAAGCCCCATTTTGGTGTTGTGGTTAGCATTAGATTCTCAGTAGCCTGGCAAATTTGTCCTGCCCATCTCTCCCTATGGTTAAATATGCACAAGATTTAGGGTCAGAATTTCTCCACATTACTTTGGAAGGAACTTTTAGCATCTGTGGTTTATGTATGAGTTTCATTTGAACAGACTCCCTATGGATGCAGTGCCCAGGGATATGAGCAATGCCCTCTCTCTCTCGTTCCTGGGGCTTGTTTCAGCTTCAGAAGACAAATGCTGTGAACAGATATCTCTTTCTTTCAAGCCCTCCTCACTCTATTCCCCAACTACCATCCTGAAGTACCAGCGAGGGAACTGCTTTGACTTCAGTGTGCTGCTGTGCTCCATGCTGATTGGAGCTGGGTACGATGCCTACTGTGTGAATGGGTATGCCACCCACGACATATGCAGCTTGGATGAGACTCTGGAGGAATGCCCACTGCTCAGGAAGCCACAGGAGGTGAGGAGACCTGCAGCGAGCAGGCAGGGGGGAGCCTGGGTGTCTGGTTCTGATAAGAAAACCATGACATTGGTGAGAAAGACAAAGCACACTGGAGGCCAGTGAAGCTGGCATCTCTGGTGTGTCCACTGTGTGATAAGAATGAGTGTGATGGCAGGCTGTGGGGCGCCCAGCCCCATTGCCTGCTTGCTTTCTAATCATGCTACTCATGTAAAGAGGGCGACAGCTTGCCTGTGCTTTCTCCCTTTTCTTGATTCCTGCTGGGTTTAACAGCAATTTCTTGCTTTTGTGGAGGCAGGTCCCAAAAGAAGAAGTGAAGAAGTCTAACAAATATAGAGTTAAGTCCCCCCCAGACATGTGCAGCAAATTTGAGCTTCAGCAGGAGGCCAAGAAGAAAGCAGAAACAGAAGCTACTGAGAAAAAGGAAAGAGAAGAGAGGGGCATGGTGAGTTAGCAAGGTCTACCCTACTCTCAAACTCCATTAGCAAGAGTGAGACATGGGTAAGAGTTGAGACGTGGGTAATAGCTGACCAAAGAAAGGAGCTCATGACCCTCCATGCAGTACAGTACAACTCAGATTCTGGCCATGAGCACATAGTTTCTGGAAACACGGTGTGTGCTAGCAGAGGAATAAACACTGAGCATGTACTGCATCACTGTTCTGAAGAGAATTAAGGGTTTGGAGGTCTTCAGAGTTGGGCAGGGGAAAGAATAAGATTGCTGGTGGATTGGACTAAAGTGGCAATAAAGTAGCAATAATTATTGCTCTATCTTCTGGACTACAGGAAGCAGAAGAGCTCACACGTGACCGTTTGTGTGGCTTACGGGTGCATGCGTGGGTTTTGGTTCTGTCTGGCAAGAGAGAGGTTCCCGAAACTTTCTTCATTGATCCCTTCACGGGGAACAGCCATAGCACCATGGATGAGCAGTTCCTTGGGATTGAGAGTGTCTGGAACCACAAGAACTACTGGGTGAACATGCAGGACTGCCGGAACGGCTGCAAGGTAGTGAGCTCTTAAACACCCCTGCACCTGAAAGGGACAGTCAGGCTGAGCCCTGAGGGAGTCCGAAATCAGTGGTGATCCAGGTTTCTAGTCACTATTCCCCTGCACTGGCTCTGGGCACGGAATTCTGATTGCTTAGACATCAGACCTGGTACCTGGAGCTAGTTCCTGCCATCCCACTCTCTGAGCTAGCAAATATGGATCATACCTATTGACCCTACACAACACTGGAATATCAGCTTTGGAGGCTGGCTGGACAACCATTCTCCCAAAAAGAACGTTTAGGGTAAAATCTGTTAAGTACAGCTCAGGGTAGGAAAGATCTTGATTTGGCTCTTCTCACACCCTAGCTACTGCCCAGCTGATAGAAAGGCTGGAAGGAGAGGGGCTAAATCAGAATCACTTTAGGCCCATCTGCATGACCCTGGGACCATGCATGAGTCAAGGAAGGAAGCAGAAGTATTTCCCTGGCAGTGGTACCATGAGGAAAAGGACCAGTAGCCTTCCAGGCAAAGAGCCAGTCTTTGGCATCCCACCAGTGAGCCACTGAGATCCAGGGTGTCCAGAGTCTGCAGGTGTGCAGAAGCAGTGTTGAGTTTAGTGTCAGGCCCTTGAGGCTGCTCTGTATTTCTTCTGTTTGGCCTAGGATCTTGTCTTTGATTTGAGTGATGCTGTCCACTGGGAAATCATGCTTTCAGAGACTGACAAGCCTCTTCAGCTGCTCCTGGGTGCTGAGAAGGAAAATGAGCTGTTTGATAGGAACATGGATGACATGGTGAGTGACCTGAATGGTTAGCACTCAGCCTTCCGCTGCACTGACCTCTGGGACAAAGGAATTTCAGAAAAATAAAATTAAAACAAAAATTTTCTGAACATCCTCTCTCTGCTGGTCAGCAGACAGCTCTTACAAGTTGCCAACCAAATGTAGAAATAAAGTGTGTATAAATGTTATGTTGTCTTGCTGGCAGAACAAAATATGATAAAGCAGGCATTACTCCAGCACAGCACCACGGAGAAACACTGATAACAACACATTCCCTCCTCATATCTAATCTTCCCAGCTTTTGTTCATCACCAGGGATCAAAACTTCTTCCACGGTCTGTATAAAATAAGCTGGTCATTAGTTTGAATGGCAAAAGTCACATTCATAACCTGCCCAGCATAAGTGTTAGCCACATTTCCTTAGGCTTGGAATAAGATGTGCTAGCAAGAATGCAGGGATGCAATAAAGTTCACCTTCCCTGAAAAACTGCAGCATGCTGCTTGCTCCTGCCCTCTGGCTGTGTGTGATTGTTACAGCACATAACTCTGCCACTGCTGCACAGGACAAAATGTGGCCTCCTGTGAGTTGCTCGCTGATTGCTGCAGTGCATTCTCCAGAACCAGAAGGCCTGGCACTGTCAGAGCAATTCCCAAAAATGGAAATTTTTGTTTCAACAGGAGGAGGAAGAAGAGGAGGAGGAGGAGGAGATAAGTTTTGCCATGCCACCGTCATGGGTAGCTCCAATTCAGATATCTCCCAAAGGTGCGCGCTCTTTGCCTTTCGCTTGCCTTCCAGCTAATCTTTTAGTAGATCTGGAAGAATTCTGCCTTCAGGATGTTTGAGGTACAGCAGCAAAGTGCAGTAGATCAAGGCATGCACTTGCTATTGGTTTGAATGCACCTTCCACGCACTGTCTCACTGTGGATGGGTGGTCCCCATAGACACACACACCTTTCCTGCTAACTGAATGATTTTGCCTGGGATGGACTTTCTGTTACCACTATGCATATGGGGCTGCCTGCCAATCTTTCTGACACCTCCCTTGCCTACTGCAGAGTTTGAGACTCGCTGTTCCCAGGGGAGGAAGGTGATCCTCTACAAGAAGGCAAAGCTGGAGAAATGGCCACCATACTCCAATGGAAATGGGCTGGTGAAACGGCTCACCGTCTACGCAGACTCAAACTGTAAGAGGATGGAATTTATCTCACCTTCTCCCCCTGAGCTGCTGACTTTAGTTTCTGTTGACAAAGAGGAATAAGTGTTTTTATGGTATAAGTCATCACAGTAGATTAGAATTCATCTATTAGGATTAATCTATAAAGTGCCCCAGTGCACAGAGCCAATTCTAGTGACTGTGTGGGCTGCTTGCACAGATGTCAGATGAATCATACCACTTCCAACTGGGTGACGTGAGGCTGTGAAATTGCATGTCTCCTGCCAGATACCAAAGCAGTAGAAGTGAAAGAGTGGTTCAAAAACCGTGAAGACATGTTGGATGTGAGAGAAGTGAATAAACAAACACAGTTGACCACAGAGTACTTCAGCCCAGGACACCTCTTCGGTCTCAAAGGTATTCTAGTTCATCTGGGCAACCAAGACATTATGGGAATCTGTTCTAGTAGTTGCAAAAGCCTGAAGCAACGGGTCTGTAAGCATCTAGGATGAATTGTATAGATTAATAATATAGTCTCTGAAAGTAGAGGATTGGGTTGGTTGTGCTTACAGTCCTGGGCAACACTTTCCCAGCATAACAGAAGGTGACATCTGTATCATATATAGTGATATATACTTTTACCAGTAAGGTTGAAAACTGTCTCCTTGGGATTATATTCAGTCTCTCAGTGTTATGCAGCTGTAGAAGACAAAGTCCTGCTATTAGTCCAGATGTGCTACTGAAGCAGTATTTCTCCCCAAGAGATTGCCCAGTTTCTGGTGTGGAAAGAGCAGAGTCCAGGCTCTACTCACCACTACCTTGCTGTGTGAGGAAGGCAGCGGCCTTGAGAAGCTGTTCTGCCATCCTCAGGCCATGGTATACTGGTAATCAGCAGTAAGGATATAACATTCCCTTCCCACACTCATTGGTGCATTTGATTTGTTCGCTGCTCAAGAAAATGAGACTTCCTCTGGATGTGCCTGTATTCCTCTGGATGTGCCTGTATTCCTCTGGATGTGCCTTTACTTCAGCAGTATTGTGATGACTAGTTGTGAAAACGTACGCAATCTCTTTTGTGTCCTTAGTACACACCTATAAGTCAATGAGCCCACAGACTGAACGTGTGATGGAGTTCTACACTGAGACACGAGTCGATGGCCTCCAGAAACTTGCTGAAAATGACAACGAGATGAAAGAGTACTTTGTGGGGCGAGATGACTTCAAGTACTTCCAGCACACAGAGTTTCGCTCTAAAAGAAAGAAAGTAACTTTGGTTGGCACCAGAACTGATGTTAACTCCCGGCCTATAGTGGTACGGCCAAGACAGGAACAGAAAAATATCTGTCACAGTGATATTTATACATTGCAAAACATGCTGCCTGAGGCCTTAGGTTCATTCTTAGTGGACACAACCAAGGCAAAACTCCAGATGAAGCATACAAGTCTTGTTCAGCTGCTGTGTCTTTCAGTTGCTTGCTTGACACAGCCACAGTGTATGCATTTGTCCCAAAACACATGGAGAACTTGAGTGAAACCAGGAAGTTATGACCTGGAAAATGTGTGTCAGAGGAAAGAAAAATAGCTTAACGATGATTTCGGAAGGAAATTTTCTCAAGACTCCACAGTGTTTTGTTCTGACCCCAAATGAATGTTTTGTGATGCTGACAAAGTGTCCCATAGTGCTGTTACAAGCAGGTACCTCTGTCCAGTCAGGTCTGATGGGGAGAACAGATGAGAGAGGAAATCTGACATCTGCTGGTATGGCTCAGACACTTCATCTGCCAAGGCAGTGGCCTTTGGGTCAACACCAAACATGCTTTTTTTCCCCCCTTCTTTTTGTTGGGGAATCTGGGGTGTTTTGTTGTGCTCAGAATACCTTGCTTCCCACAGCTCCATCAGACTGAGATGCATCCCAAGCTAACTTTGAGCTTGAAGAGCATGCTCAGCTCCACAAATAGGAGTCTGTATTGCTTTAAGAAACTTTGTGTTTTGTTTTTTTTTCAGGGACCAACCATGGGCCAAGGCTTTAGGAGTAGCTGTCACATCTAAATTGAGCAAAAAGGCCCAGTTTTTGTCTTGAGCTTTGATTTAACTCTCCATGAATGTTGCCATTTTTCTCTGCGGTCTAACTTGCTTCCATCTCTTTCTCTTCACTTAGCAAATCAAGGAGTGTTTCCACAGAAACCTACAAAAGCCTGCTGATGAAGATGTGGCAGAACGTGTCTTCCTGATGGAAGAGGAGATGATCCAACTGACATACCACCTGAAGGATAAGTACATCACAGCCTCAAAGAAGGACTTCTTCAAACCAGAGGAGAGCTATAGGAAGCAAAGTGAAATCATGACCCCAGAAATGTGCATCACATACCAGGTAAGGAGAAAATCTACCTGGATTGAGGAGCTGTTCTGGGCCATGGGGACGCAAAGGGTAGGTGCAGCGTCAGTGGAAGCATGGCATGGCATATTCGTGCTCAGCCTCTCCCCCATCTGCTCATCAGGTAGTGTATGTGGCCACTGAGATCTTGCAAGATGCTGATTCAGCAGCTGTTTGTCTCAATCCTGCAGATCCATGACAGGGAAGTTGAAATTTCCTTTGCTGTTCTCTCTTAGAGAGACCGCAGCAGAAAAGCAGGAGCAGATTTTAACTCAATTTCTACCATAGATCACAAAGCTCGGGTCATGCTGTTGTTTAAATCATCCCCAGCTTACTCTGCAAATTCAGACAAGATACCGAGGCTTTATTTATTGCTGATAGATAGACAGATAGCTTTAAATAAAAGATACCCCAGAAAAAGTGCTGTCATTATGCCAAATTCTCTCATTCATGGAGAGGTCACTCTATTAACATCTCTGATGTGAGTCTGTAGTCAGAGGAAGAAGTCTGCCTGCATCATCTGCACAATTATGCATAGGAAATCAGATTACCAAAATAGATATGCTATTAATATATGTTTTTTAATTTATATTTCTGGGGAGATGCAAATGCTGGAGTGCTGTCATTTCATCTGTAACCCTGTAAAAACAGTCTCAGCCAAATAATAGGAGCATCATCAAAGAGGTGTAGGACATGCAATCTGGCTGGCATTACTGCTGGGCTCAAAGTCTGGGTGAACTCTAGTCAACTACTGACAATGGGTTGGATGTTTTTGTGGTGTAAAGCACAGTCCTTATATTGACTTAGCAGAATGGTGCCAGTTTATGTTTGCAAAGTACTTGGTCCCACTTACCCAGACAACAATACTGCCTTTCACTAGCTTATCTGCTTCCAGGCAGGGTCCTCTGAGCAGCACACAAAGCTGGTTCACCTGTACAAACTGTTGCGAGAGCTAACAGAGGAAGAGAAGCAGCTGAAGCAACAAGTGTGGAGAACTCAAGCAGAGGTAGAAGGGAGCCGTCCTCACTGCTGTCAGCACGGTCAGGAGTGGAAGCTGGTTTCATTGGACAGGTTGCCAAAGCCTCATTCAGCTTAGGCTGTGATAAAAATAAAACTCTGGTGGTGTGAAGCTGGTCTGCATGCTGAATGACCAAGTTTGCAACCCGTCCCTTGCTCAGTACAGATCTTGTATAATATATGGAGTCACACGCTTCCCAAGTCTTGCTCTGTTTGTTCTCAGGGATGGAAATGGTTTCAGAGAGAAATAACAGCGTGTGAACTGGGGCGTCCAGGAGTAGATCTGTTTGTTTGCTTGCCTGGGAATGAAACCAAAAAGAAAGGATGTTGTATGTAATGTAATCTAATTGCAAGGCATTTCCAGGAAACCGTAACAGTAATATCAAAGTGATTTTTTTTGTAGGAACAACTGTAGGGAAATAGTTCACAAAATACACTGCTTGTACTGCTGATCAGACTGTGACTGGTGGAACAAATTCATGTTCTTAGAAGTGGTGACTTCACGAGAAATTCAGTCATCCTAGCAAGTGGAGACAGAGCCATTGGATCTGATTGGTTTTTAAATGGCTTTTCTGTGAAAGGAAAACCTCTGGAGAGGAATGCACAACAACAGCATGCAGAACATTAATAATAGCAAAGAAAAAGCTTGCAATATTTTTCAGAATTGTGGAGAGCATACACTGTGACCTCGTGAATGACCTCACCAGATTTCTTGGTCTTGAGGTATTCACAGGCCAAATATTGCTGTTGCTTGTGCCGTGTGTCCCATGTACTGCTGCGACAAAGCAAAAAGCCAAAGCTGTTTCTGCAGTTTCAGATGAACCTTTTCATAAAGGTCTGGGATGTATTTAACCCTGTGCTACACTCGTGGCGCACAGCATCTGCTCTGTGAGCGTGTGGAAATGCTGTCACTCGGTGGGAAAGCTGAGGTGTCTCTCTTCTCATTGCTTGGAAGGTGCTAACAATTCTGGAGACCCGCAAGAATGAAGAAGCAGACATTAAACTGTCAGCTTCAATATATGACACAGAGAGAAATGCAAGGAAAAGACAAGAGTACGAAGCCATGGTAGGTGGGCTTTACTAATCCCAGTATTAATTACATGCACACAGATTAAATGCAGAGCAAGCATCTTCTGTCTGACATGTTAGCTCTGAAGATCTTTTAGTGTTATTAAAAGATACAGAGCCAAATCCCAGCAAGTTGAAAATACAACATGGCCAAGTTATGACCTTCTGGCTCTGTGGCCACATCAGAGAGAGAGAGAAAAAGTTGTTTTATTTTATTTAGGTAACAATTTAATAACTAATCCTTGTTAATTATTTTAATGATAATAGGCACTGGGGAGGGGGAGTGTGATAACAGAGTCAAAGCTGCATCTTTATTGCCCTTTCTCTTTTCATCAGGTGTAGGTGCACATCTTTGCACATTTCGTCCCTCTATGAATCAGTTGGGTTTTTTGTTTTCATTATTTGCAAAGGCAATTTTGTTTCAGGGTGTCTCTCAGGGAATTATTACCTTATGAGTATTGTGAGCAAATAAAAAAAAAACTTGAAGAATAATGACTTCCAGCTTTTTAAAATCTCTGCTATGTTTCTTGTGAATGATGTTTAGACTGAACTTTCCTGGTTGGAGAGCTTGTAAGAAGTGATAGTGGGTTTTATATGCCAGACATCTGGCGTGAAGCACAGAGGCAAAGGTCCAAGAATCAGCTATTTGCCAGCCTACAAATTAATAGCACTCAAAATATCCCATCCAAATACAAATGCCTTTTTTGGAGCCCTTCTTGCACATTTTATGTAAGATAAATCTCTGCAGTCAAGGAAATTAGGAAAGATATTAAAAAGGGTGATAAAAAACAAATGACAGAATGAAAAACACATTAGCACTGTGCATCTAATGAAAAGCTACAGATTTGGTCAAACTATAGCAAAAGGAAACATCATTTCCACCACTGGGTTGCGGGAGTTTAGGCCTTTGCTTTTATTTTGCCTTATTTAGGGTGTTTGGGAAACAAGCAGATGGATTGTGACTCTTTCTGTCCTTCCCCCTTCAGGTGAAGGCAAAGAAGGATGAGTTCCCAGGACAAAAGGAGCAGGATCTGGATTACCTGGCACCTTTTCTTATCCAAATTGGCAGCCCAGAGAAAATAACCAGAAAGCAGGCCCTCCGCCTCCGGGACGACTGCCTGAGTGATTTTAAGAATCGTCTGGTTTCTAAGGCCAACATCATCCAAGCCCATTTTGAAAAGGTATTCCCAGCCTTGCTCCGTGATGTGCATGTCACTGGAGTGGGTTTTTTGCACTGGCAGGGGGGCAATACACATCTCATCGTGACAGCAGGCAGGAAACAAAACTCCTTTACCTGTAAGGGAGCCCTGGACACACCTGTGTCACTTTGTCATTAACATGTGAGATCAAAGAACGGAGTAGCTCCAGAGTCAAATTCAGTCCTTGTTTCAAGCAGAGCTGATTTGGTTCTCCAGTGCTTCTTAACTATAGTGAAGCAACACGTTTTGGTCTTGCAGCCTCTCACTGGTCTGTGTGTTTTGATTCCCTTGTTTTCTTCTTCTTGTGAGACCTCATCTCAGACTCACTGCCTCTCATGAAAATAAAACAGCCCTTATTTGTGGTTTCCTTCATCTTGGCTCCCTGAACTCTGAGTTGCACTTCTGTGCATCTGCACTCCTCGCTCTCCTTCCCATTAGCCTGACTTCTTGCCACTCTCTCTCTCAACAGGAGGTAGAAGAGCTGCAGAAGAGGAACCAGCAGTTTCAGGAAAATCAGAATCAGCTCAGCGAGAAGGAGGAGGCTGACTTCCTTGCTGATTACTCTGAAACCATGTTCCGTATCCACATTCTGGCACTAAGACTCAACAGGTACTGGGAATGATTGCTAGAAAAATGTTCACGGGAACAAGGAGGTCTACCAGTCAGCGTTCCTAGTGACTGAGCAGTGAAGCTGTTCTGTGAGACATTCTACTCCATGTCCTGCTGCAGCTTCCCTCTGACAGTCCCCCTTCTTGTTCTAGGGAAAAGCAGACAGCACCACAGAAGTACCTTGCTCTTGAGGAGAAACTGTGCAAAGACCCTCGCCTAGCAGAGCACCTCAGTCATGCCTGATGGCTTCTTTTTTCCTTCAGATCAGACACGGGAAATTAGTGCTGAAGTCTGTTAAAAGCAGCCTTAAAAACGGTGGAAAGGCTTTGCTACTTGCCTGCAAGAAATCTTGCATTCTCATCAGGTTCTGCTAGAAGTCTTTGTGCACCTGTGTCTGGAGCTCCAGGGGATTTTAATGAACCTGTACCATCTACTATTTTAGACAATCCACTGTCTTGCTAATAATCATTCCCTGATACCAAAAAATAGAAGCCAGTTAGTGTGTTGCCATACAAGTCCCCGAACTTGCTAGGAATCAATTCCTGATGTCCTGGATGAGGCACAGCAGACACATCTGGTGGTTCTGCCCACAGCTCCCAACGATTGCTGTCTTCAAGGAACAATCTGTAATGATCATCTTCAACAAAGGCTACACTGACCAGAGACAGAGGAAGGCAGAAATGTTTGGGTTTTGTTTTTCTGGTGATAGAATAAGGTGCATTACACATGAGATACAGCATGAGTCAGAGCAGATGAGACTTTGTTTATGCCTGCTGCCTATTTTAAGGGATAGATACTTTAATCAGCTTTTATAGAGAACCCCAATGACTGCCTTTTTTATTGCAACAGAATCATTTTCTCTTGCACTGTTCTCATTGTAGAAAGCCACCTAGCAGAAGAAACTCATTATGCTTAATCCAAATATCACAGGTCATTAAAATCTACCACCTTGCCCTTGCACAGGGTGGCATCCAATTAGGTGTTGATGGAAGGATGATGCACTCCTTTTGTGTGCAGCGTCTGTGTCTCCTGGGGAGGTGGCTGACACCACAGCAATTCTCTGGGTGTGACTGAGCCTCCCAGCCCCTGGGTTTTGCAGCTCTGAGGGCTTTTGTGACAGCACCTGGCATCCTCAGGTGCCTGACAAGAGCAGCTCAGGGCTGCGTCCCTCTGTCAGTGCTTTGCTGGCGTGGTGACCTAACGCAGCTAGGTCACATAGAGAGAAAGCTCTTACCACAGAATCATAGAACAGCCTGGGTTGCAAAGGACCACAATGCTCATCTGGTTCAACCCCCTGCTGTGTGCAGGTCACCAACCAGCAGCCCAGGCTGCCCAGAGCCACATCCAGCCTGGCCTCGAATGCCTGCAGGGATGGGGCACCCACAGCCTCCTTGGGCAACCTGTGCCAGTGCCTCACCACCCCCTGTGTGAAAAACTTCCTCCTCCTCTGTGACAGATAAATACGATTACCTGGGTAAGTACACAGCACTGAAGTAATTAAAGGAATAGAAGGAGTGAGCCAAAGCAATTCCTGAACCACAAAGAGTGAACTCCTGGAGAATGACGGACCCCGGAGAACCGAGGAGGAAAGAAATGCTGAGGGCTCAGGAAGCAGGAGAGGAGCAAGCCAGCCTGCGAGGATTAAATCAGCATTAACTCAGTAACAGATGCCAGAACAAATTAACTTAGAAATCCTGTTACGGGCAGCCGCTGGGGACACAGCTGCCTGCCAAGAACCAGCCAACACACACTGCAGAGAGCAGCACTGCACCACCCAGCTGCGGGTCCATTCCCGCCTGACGGGAACCCGAGCGCAGCCACGTCACCCTTCTCAGCACCCACAAACCTAAAAAAAAAAAATGAAAATTAAAATTAAAATTAAAAAAACCCCACAACAACAACAAGAAAAGCCCGCAGCGACCCTATCTCCGCCCCTCTTTATTGGCTGGGCCGGAAAAGCTCCTCGAAAAAGCCGCGCTGCGAATGGTCAGCCGCTCTGTGGTTCCCATGGTAACCTGCCATCCCTCGTCTCCCATTGGTCGAGCGCCTGACAGAACCCCGGCAACCGCACGGCGCGGCTGTTCCGCGGGACAGAGCGGCACCGCGGATTGGCTTGGACGCCGGAGAGCAAGGGCGGCTCTGATTGGTGGAAGCCGGGCGGTGGCGGGGTGTGCCCGAGGTTGGCGGTGGGGGGCCGGTTGCCAGGGCCCGGTTGCCAGGCGCCGGGAAGAAGGGGCAAAGGGGGGCAGGTCGGGGCATCCGAGCCTTGCGAGCGGACGGCTGCGGATCCGTTGGCCTCCACGGGCCGCCCCGCGGGGATCGGCGGCGAGGAGAAGCTCGAAGGGAGGCGGCGGAGCTGCGGATGGTGGCGGGGGAGCGGCCGTGCTAGGACGCGGCGGGGGTCAAGCCCCGAGCCGGGCGCGGAGCCTGGCGGCCGGCGGGAGATGGCAGCGGCCGTCGTCACCAAGACGGCCTGGAAGCTGCGTGAGTGGCGTGGGGACGCGGGGGGGAACCGGCTGTTGGGAGCGGGCCTGTGCCGGGAGGTGGCACTGCACCGAGGTGAGCCGCCCGTGCCGTGTGTGAGGGGCGGAAAAGCGGATTTCTGTGCCGTCCTGCTGAAGTTGCAGCTGTGGGAACTGCCGGCAGCAGATCGACACCTCGCGGTGCTGGGCTCTGCCCTCCCTCGGCGTGCTCTTCAGAGTCCGTGGTGCTGCTGGGGGGCTCGGCGGCGTTGTGACCCCGAGAAAAGGCCCTGGGGCTGAGGGGAGGGCCCACGTGTGGGCTGGGGTTGGGGCTTCAGCCGTGACACTGAAACATCCGCTCTACTGTGAAGAATGAAACCAGGAAGAGGAAAAGCACGGGGTGCTGGTGCATTCCTATTGGTAGCAGCAGCGCTCAGCATCTGTACTTTTTTACAAGTGAGTTGGTCTCTCAGTACTAATTGTACTGCTTGTTGCCTTTGATTCTTTGCACACGTACCTCCTTCAGCGTCGTCCTGAGGAAGATTGGTCTTTCATCACAGAGCACACGTACTTTCAGCTTGGCTCATCTCGTTTAAGTCCATTTACCTGTGTAATTTGAAAGGTGTTCCTCCAGCTGAAGTGAAAGTTGCGCAGTTTTGCTTTCAGAAAAACACTCAGAGCCTGAGATCAAAGCAGATGTAATTATTGCTGCAGCTGTCTGATGGCCCTTTGGATTTGTGGTGTGCTATACACAGTCACATCGCCCTTCCCATCAGAGCAACCCCAAGCAGAGCTGAATTGATTACTGCCTGCCCCTTTTATGACAAATTTCATACCTATTAGGCCAGCAAATGCAGTAAACTCTCAAAGAAGAGAGGAGCCAGGGAAGAAATTGGTAAATACATCTGCCAAAAGCTCCTGCCAAAAATTTGGGTGGATTTTAAAATCCATTATAAAAATTGATGTCTGTGCAGAAGCGCTCTTTTGGCTTATCTTTTGCCGCATGCTTGCAAGGCTTTCTTTCCTAGAACTCTAGCATTTCCATCAGCCCTCCAGTCTTTCCATATCGGCCACGTTTGCTTTGGTGCCCCTTCAGATAAACGCCCATCCTTCCTCTGTCTGTGGCATTGCTAAGTTTCACTTTGGCACAGGGAGGCAGCTCCACCTCTCCCTCTGCTGAGTCTGGCATTTTGCTCTGTCAGGTAACAAACTGTATGAGTCCCTCTGGGGTTGGATGCAGCTCTCCAGGTTAGAGTTCTTTTCTAGGAGTGTGTTTCTGCTGCTTATCATTGCAGCTTCTGAAGCAGCTCCGCTGACCCACCTCGGTGCGGAAGGAAAAGCAGCCTCAGTGAGCAGGTTGCTGCAGTCTTTAAAAGCTGCTGTATTGCTGCTGGGGAGAGAAGATGCTTTTAGGAAGACATGTGAGCACTGGAGTTGTGAAGCTTGGCCAGCAAACATCTTAAGTGCAGCAGACAGAGCCCAGAAGGACTGTTTGAAGCCAGATAATAGTGTGACTTCTTATCTGACTTGCAAGCTGCTGCAGCTTGTCTGGTGGAAACTGGAAATGCTTTCCAGAGCAAGAAGATTTTTTTTTTTTTAACCTTTTTAGAAGGGATGGGGTGGAAAATCTGTAACGTGGACCATCCTAACTGCTTGCTTCATCTTGTGCAGAAGAGATCGTGGCTCACAGCAGCAACGTGTCCTCATTAGTCCTGGGGAAGAAATCGGGCCGGCTGCTGGCGACCGGAGGAGATGACTGTCGGGTCAACGTGTGGTCAGTTAACAAGCCCAACTGTGTCATGGTGAGAGTGGGCCTGCTTCAGCTTCCTGGGGAGGGGAGCATTAATTCTGAGATAGGAAAGGTGGGGAACGGGGAAAGAGAGGGGTGTAGGCTGTGGGACTTGTGAATAGAATTTATCAATGCAAAGCCAGTTGGCCAGATGCTAGCAAAAGTTTGGGACAGAATTTGATTATCAGTGAGGCTGCTGTTCCAAGGATGATCAGGGATGGCTCTGTGCTCCAGCAGAACTTGTATTCTCTCAGATAATAAATACTGAGTCTTCTGTTACTGTGCTGCAGGTAATTACAGTTTTGCATGAGGACAGCTCATCTGGTAGTATGAGCTACAGGAGCCAAATTTGCATCTTGGAGTTTGCCCTCCTAGCAGGAAGCATTTCCACCTGTCCCACAGTCACTTATTGTCAGCACAAAGTTAGAATACTGACTTGACCATAGGCTGGGAAAGCATAATCCTGGGCACAGCACGTTAGGAAGAGTAGGGTTACCACTACAGCACATTTAACAGCTGTCTGTGCTGTATCACTTTTCCTTCAAGTGGGTGTTGTGGAAAAGTATCTAGAGCAAGTGTCCCTCATCACTTGTTTAATTAACAACATAACGTTGCATTATGGAAGGATTTCTCTAGGCAAAGTGAGATAGTGCTGGGATTCAGGATTGGGATTCACTTTGAGGAGAAGAGAAAGAAGAAACTTAGCAAGTAGCACTGCAGCTTGATTCCTGTTTGTCCCTCCCTGTACAATGACAGTTGTAGCCCTGGAATGCTGCAGATCTGCTTGAAATCCAGAGAAATCCCCATTAAAACAGGTGGCTTTCTGCTGCCACCCCCAACTTCTGTACCTGAGTGGAGGCACAGAGCTAGCTTAACTGTTTCAAAAGACCTGTGTGAGGATGAGGTAAAGCAGGGGATAATCATATTGCTTAATTGATGAGCAAAAGGCCTATAATAATAGTGTGTACACTGATATTAAATACTAGCCTTTTCAAAATTCTTAGATAATTGGTGAGCTTTCAGATGCTCAAGGATGAAAGAAAATGCATACATGTGAATTATAAGCTCCTGCTTCCAATTAATATTTCAATGACAGCACCGTGTTATCATTGTGACATCCAGTGCT